TATATGTATGTATGTATGTATGTATGTATGTATATATATATATACGATCTATAAATTTATGTCCACGCTGGTTGTTGTCCATATTCGCAAATGTTATTGAAGTGAACAAATCTCGCTTTTTCCCAAATGATAGTACGTAATGACGTATTCTGATAGGGGAGACTGTCATAGGAGTACTCAGCGTTTGGTGAGTGAGTATGGACATATCTTTGAAGCCCTTGACAACTAGCGTATACTTGTGTAGTAGAGTGATTCGCTTCGATGTAATAAAAACTACGCATTATGGAGGCATATATATATTATATAGAGCCAAATATATGTTCCTTAGCTTGAACTACATGATCGCTAACATATCACATCGCGTGCATCGGCGGGCATCAACGACAACCACAGAGACGAGCGCAGCAATGAAGGTTATGTATTTACTTATTTATGGAAACGACTAACAATTGGGTTTTAGGGGTTTTTACCATTTTTGGCAGAACCGATGAACCCAACTATTAGCTTTTTATTGGTTAGATTTTAATATTCGAATGTCTTTTTTAATAATATAATGTACCACATTTTATAATGTTTTATTTTAATTTATTTTTTACAAAAAGAAACAAGAAAACACATCATGTGCCAATTTTAAATAGAAGGCAAATGTCATGGCAGTGAAAATTACACAATGCGAAACCGACGCCTTTAGGCTTAGAAGGGCACATACAACGGCGACCTTCCAGGTTTTGAATAACATGTATCTGTCTGTCTATCCTATGCAAGTTTCTGCATAAAGAACACTATTAAATATGTGGCCATTGCTTGAGCGATTAAAGCGGACGCCATTTCAATACAGTAGACCGCAGTCATCAGTTTGTGAATGTAGAGGAGAGCCGAACTTCTTTCGATTTTACTCGAACGCACAGGGTTCTGTTATTTCAACGAGTCCATGAATAAATACAACTTCAACGAAATTCTTGTACAGTACAATACACATACACTCATACATCAGCTTATGTGAGCCATATATGGCATGTTTCCAACAGTGTATTTTCCCCGCAGCAACCAGATTCGTGTCAGCGATAACGACACCCGATTTAGGACAAATATCTGTCACGTAACAACAAGGTATCTGTCACGTAACAACAGTTGATCATATATATGAAGACACAGATTTTATATAATTATTCTAATTTTAACTCGAGAAAGCTACGCGAGTGTTCTACTTCCACCAGTGAACAGTTACGTCGTGCTGGCTATGCATGAGGGGTAGATTTCAAGAACTTGGTTAAAATCACCAGTAGTACAAGGGGCTTGCTTGCAGCATACGGTATTGAAATTTCTCGGAAACTCGCACTTCGTAGCATCCGCATCTCCGCTATATACTGATCCTAGATTACACTCGTGTCCGGACAAGCCCTGGGCCTGAGAGCATGTCGGCGGCTCACAACACTCGAAACTACAAATCGGCTCGGTACACAGAACCTGTGCATTTTTGTTGCTTCGGAAGCCATATTCACAGCTTACTGATGCACACGTGGGGGGAACGGTACAACACTCTGCTTCGCAGTCTGTAAGACAATCCGTAGATGCATCCTTACCGGCTTTATAACCAAAATCACACCCCGCGGAAGAACATGTCGGCGTAGGAGCGAGGGCACAACACTCTACTCCACAGTCTGTGAGGCATTCCGTAGCCGCGCCTTTTCCATCTTTGTAACCGAAATCACACCCCGCAGAAGCACACTTCGGCGCATCCGCACAACATTCATCCGCGCAATTAGTGCACTTTGTGTTTGCATTCTTATTGTTCGCGTATCCGTGCTGACAACCTGCACTCGAGCATTCGGATTGGGGGGCGCAACATTCACTAGCACAGTCGAAACACGTGGTAGCATCGGTCTTTAGATTATTATAGCCGTATGTACATTGTGCACTCGAACATGTGGGTTGATCAGCACAGCATTCGCTAACACATTCTCCGTTAGTGCATTCGCTTGAACCTTCTTTGCTATTTTTGTAACCATAGTTGCATCCCGCCTCAGCGCACGTAGGCTTATCCTGCCCACAACTACTCAACTTTATAATTTGACGGCAAGTGTGTTCCTCATTCTTATTATTTTTGTTCTTTTTATATCCACAGTTCTTCTTGAATCTCCAGTCGTGTTTGTCCACAGTAATATAATCATCACCATCAAGCATTTCAAGCCAAACACCAGGTAACGTAGCTGGAGAAAATGCATCCCTATACTGGGCTTTGCCTTGTGAGTTCACGGGGCCCACCCGTTCGAGGTCTCTACCCGTGCACGCGGAGATATCAATATGCATATAGGTAGAACCTTCCCAGTATGTGCTCTGTGTACAAACGCCACATGTCTCACAGGTATCGTAGCAATTTGAATCACTATCGCATCCCGAATAGTCGCATGGGCCCGCATCATAGCCTTCGCCACATAAATCACAACTATTACCCCCACGGCGTTCACGATATAACGAATCTAACGATGAATCTCCAGATACCACTCTATTAGACGCATCAATATTAGGCGCAGTATCGGACGCTATATCGACTTTAATTTCAGAATTTAGATCTCTTTGCCTTTTCCTTCTTAAGCCTGTAATTTCATCAGGAAAAACCGTTAGATAAATACAGATAAATATCAAATAAATCTTCATCTTTGTGTTTACGGTTACACTACGGCTGATAAATACATTTGCGCCACTTCCTTTGTGCAGGGTGTGATTATGGATCATTGCAAGGGCTCGTGATACTATTTATCGGTACTTTTCAAATTTGTAGTTTGAGATTTTTTAAAAATCAAACCCCACGGCCCACGCTCCACAGACAACAAGAAAAAAATCAAAGAAGAAATCATGTTGCTGATGATAGGACAAATGTGCAGAGCTGAGAACTGAGATGAGTTGCTTGATTTGATCACAAATGCTCAATATTAAAAATTGTCAGCGTGCAACTACCCGCGACTCTATAACGTATTTTTAAGTGGCCATTAGAAAAGTGAGTGTTTTCACCAGGGGTTGTTTCAAGAAAAAGTTCACTTTTATCAGTAGTCAAGGTTCTATTATGAGTCTTGTGAGACTGTGGCTGGTAGTCTGTAGACTTAAATTTTAAAGACAAAAAATTTTAAAAATAGTGAGCTACGCGCCTTTGTGCGGATTGTGCCTACTGTGAACGAATGTTAAATTTTTTTTTAACACAAAAAGTATGTAGAATTGTAGGGTTTCAAATTGTGGGGTAAATTTCGGCGGGCTTTGAATTTCCAGCACTCTACAGAGTCTGCAGCGTCATAAATAGTAAATAAATATTACGATCACAGTCTATTTACACATTACTCTAAAAAATACACTACAGTCTACACTCCGACAACACGCGACTCTCATAGATACACTCTACAGTCATATACACTATGCCTTATACTACTATACACTCTACCGCAGTAGAGAGACTATTTACACATTGAGTGAGTGTTACTGTCTCTACCTAACCTCATAACGTTTGGCTCCATATATTTAAAAGCTAGCTTTTCAACGTTTAACGGATATTTTTTTAGCGTTGAGACGTATTTTGGTATATTTTGACCTGTATATTGTCACCTGAATAGTACACCTACTATTAACCTTTTAGTCTCAATTTTTATATCAGGTGTGTACATGCCTATTTCCTGACCTAGAATATGACCCTACTACTATAAATGGGACACTCAACTCAAATGGAAGTATACGTTTTCTTTTCAACGTTTAACGGATCATTAATATGCGTTGCAACCTATAACGATATGAGGTTAGGTCTCTACAGCTTGCAATTTGCAACCATGAGACAGAGGCCCAGAGCACCTCGCAGGCTCACAGCGCCTCTCCGACTCTGACGAGGTACTCACTCTGTCGGAAGTGTAAATTGCTTTTTTTTTTCCGAAACAAAATGTAAGTTCATTTACGTTCAACTTTTTGAGTGCATATTCGGGTCGGGGACTTGGGGTCGGGGACTATAAACCAGGTCAGCCACCTTCAATATGTATTTAGAAGTAAAATAAAAATGGTACTTATGGGTCACTTGAGTGATTAGTCTTAGCCTCTTAGGTATTGTTTCCAGTATTTTAACCTGATAACACGTTTACATTTATAATAACAAGTGATATACTTTTATTTATTTTTAAATAAAAACGTAAAATACATGCTCTGCCTCTGAATTCTGACTCCTGAGAGAGAGAGACAGTGTTCGAATTTACAATGTTAAAAATTTATCGGGCTGCTGAATGTCAGTTGTTCACTGTTCAGTGGTCAATGATCCGGGTTTTAGGGTTTAGGAATTAGGAGGCTTTCAGAATTCAGACTTCTCAAGTTCTCAGCTGCATCTTCCCCAACAGTGTCTACACTTCGTCTTCACAGTTCACACAGTTGACAGTTCACCCTTTTAAATACTCGCGCTCTCTCTCTTTCGTTTTTGTAATTTATGTATTGTACTACATACATAGTTCACGGGAAACAATACTTAAGATTTCTTTTTGGAACAAAAGAAATTACTCAATGTATAATACAAAACAACTCTGATATATTAGAGCAACCCTCAAGGCTCAATCCGTTTTACGCTATTTTAAAAAAAAATCAATGCAAATAAATATGTTGCAAATATATCGACCGGGACAGTGGACGTTTTCTTTTTAGAAATAAATACGTTGAGCGTTTAGAACGAATACTTGAAAAGCTGTCTGAGGTTTAGCTCTTTGTCCCTCCGATAACGTGTGGTTAACTGAGTTAACCACTTAACCTGGGTTTAAACCGTTTGTATAAATATTTTGTACGTAAATGAGTTTTTTGAAAAGCAACAATATATTTTATATCATTTATCAGCTTTTTCAGAAATAATCACATTTTTTTAACGGCGGTAATTTAAATTCTAGTTTGCTGGAATAAATTTTAACTCGAAACCCAAGAGCCTCTCGTACTTAACCTCCTACGTTTTACGTTGGAACGTGAAAAAAATCAATACTTTTTACGTTTGCGTCAAATGTCCACTTTGGCTTGGTCCTGTACTTTGTAACGGTCAGTATTCAGACTTTAAGCTACAAAATATAATATGCTGTCGATCTGATTGTCCTATTATTTTCATGATACGTTAGGCCTATACTACCCCCCGTATACGCTATTGCGCTAAAATACCCAACAAACTGTATTTACATTACGTTCAACAAGTGACGGCACAGTCTCCTATTTATATTCATAGTACATACATTATGATCTTTAAAAAACCCGCCTACCGGTAAACCGGCTTTCCGATTTTAAGCTTTGTTTTTTTTTATTGCTTATTGTTTTTTATATACATACTAACAAAACAACCCAAAATAAAACAAAACAACCAAATAGAAATAAATAAAACAATAAATGTCCCAATGTAGGTGGCCCTGTCCCAAAGACAAAACAAGTCTTGCACTTGGCCTCAGGGCTCAGCCTGTCTGAGGCCTCTTGGCTCAGCCGCTCAGTTGTGTTGTGTCATGTGTGCGCTTTGGCCTGAACCACTCTGTGGCCTGTAGGCTTTAGCCAGTAGACTGTGGGGCGTGGCCGGTGTTGCGTCACTTGTGTGTAAATATTAAAAATACTTTTTTAAAAGCAAATATTTAACTTGAAAACATATGTCAATGTGTTTTTTAAAACTTCCACCAGATGTTCTAAATAATATATTTTTCTCTTTTTGTTGAAATAAAACATATGGCCACATTGCGGGCAGGGTCAAGACTCAAAGAGTGAAGAGAGAGTGGACTGGCAACTGGAACCAGTCACCAGTGGCACAGCCGCACAAGTATTAAAAAACATTCATAGTGTTTTGATCTCCATGACAACCGTATGTCTTGTTTAATTCCGCCTACATCTTGACCTATGATGACTCCATAAGGATGACGGTAGGCAATAATCAATATGCATAGTATGTAGTAGGTGTACCGTGTATTTTTAAAAAGTGTGCTTGATATTTGACAAATACTCCCAATGGATATGGTTTTATACAATATCTCTGACTGCGCAGTATGTAGTCCAAAAAGAATCCCCGTAGCCCACGTATCAAGCGATATTTAAACGCATATAATGCAATATGCGACCTTGCTCTATTAAATTATCAATCATTATAAGGTGTGTGTCCAATATTTGACCTTACTCTACTAATCATTACAAGGTGTGTGTCTTGCCTGAAACGGGCATTGCCGGTATTCGAACAGGTCGAATACGGCCGACACTATGCGAAGGAGTAACCCCACTTACAGTTTAATTCACCGTGAAGTAAATGCGTGACCACAACAACCAACAGGCAAACCAGTCGCTTACCTAGAGGTATTATAAAGAATAAAACGTCTCCCATACTTAACTTTGATTTTAATTGGCAATGTATGGTTATGGTACATACGAACAAAACGTCTCCATACTTAAGACTTTGATTTTAATTGGCAATGTATGGATGTAGTACATAGGAGGCGGGCCGGGCAATATCTGGAGTTTCTGAGCCGTTTGAACTATTCGAATACCTTTCCGACTTTTGTGATGAAGTCGTCTTGCTGTATACGTTAAAAAGTGGTTGCCAGTAAGTACAACCAAGCCGTATTGCGAACAGATTAAACGTTACTGTGGCTGAAGGTCTAGGCATTGCAGTTAGTGATATATTGAGGCCGTTGTACGTAAGTATGACGGAGTTTTAATGTAAATCTGACCCAAGTGCTGTACAGTTTACTAGGAATCGAAGGTGAAACAACACATAGACGAGAACATCCCAAAACATGTACGACCTTAGAGATTTTGCATAATGTGCCATGTGGTACGATGTATCGCCAGGTTTAGATGTGAGGGATTGAAGATATTACAAAATATGTGCACTATTATAATAATATATATATATATATATATATATATATATACTGTTAGCGAGAGCAGAATATAAACGGAAAGTATATCTGAACATACCGGAGGCTTGGGACAAGAATACGCGGGAATTGGTGGTCCAACCTTGGAGATACGGACTGGTTTCTCTGACCTTCGTAGCGTGAATCCTGTTGTAATACACCACATACATATACTCAGTCTACACTATTCCTTAGTCTCTGAAACAAACGTGTTATGCGAATTGTCTATATCGTAGCTCTGCGATTTACGATTATGGTACTTGATGTGTAATGTAATATTGTTTATGTGTAATGTAATATTGTTTATGTGTAATGTAATATTGTATATGTGTAATGTAATAATGTTTATGTGTAACGTAATATTGTTTATGACATAACAGTACAGTACTCACTTCACTTCGCAACTAAGGCTGATAGATGAGTACTCTGATGTAGTCACTCTCTGTCACTTGGGGGGGAGTGTCGTACTATCGCGAAGAGTGTTTCATGGCGTTTGCCTGGTACTTGCTGGTATGGATGAGATCGTAGATAGAGAAGGTAGACGGCTGAATCAACCAACCAACCAACCTAGTACTAACCAGAAACCGAACGTTTTCAGCCCATATGCGAAGAGTGTTTCATGGCGTTTGTCTGATACTTGCTGGTATGGATGAGATCGCAGATAGATAAGGTGGACGGCTGAACCACTTAGCCAACCAACCAACCTAGTACTAGCCAGAAACCGAACGTTTTCAGCCCATACATGGTACTGTCTGTGTGATATGCCTCAAGCCATGTGGGTGACAGACTAAAGGGGATTGTACTGGGGTTGATACATGCATACACTAGT